ACAAACAGAAAAGCGTCCAACCTGAGTTGTTGCTCTGTAAAATTACCACGACATTTATTAAGCTAACAAGTTTTTTTCTAAAGATTATACTCCTAGCTTTTAACTGAAATCAATATAAATTAATTCACGGGTCACATCACCTCTATCTGAGAGGTCTCGTACAGAACACACACTAGTGCTCCCTTTTACTTTTTCTCCCTTAAATTGATGACTATAGGAGATGACTGAAGGCATGCAACAATGTCCCAGCAGGAGAGCGCTGCTTCACTGAGGTCTTTGGTTTCAGAAGACCCGGCATTTTTTGTCAGCTGAATGACTGTCCATTTATTCCCAGTATCGCTGACTAGGACCATCAATTAGAATTTAGTGCCAGTGCAGGAAGACAGCAAGTATGAATACACCTTTTTCCTTAATGACTCCTGCAAATTATTTTAAATATAGTATATTCTCACCTTTGCTCCTCCACAGCAAAAATCACAAGTACCATATTCTGTATGAATCAGAGGTTTCTTAAAAATTTAAAGCATGCATTTATTTTTAGCTTCTGTGTCACCACTTTTTTCGTGTCACATACTTACAGCCTCGGTGTGAATGGGATGCACAGCAAAAAACAGCGCCGTGACAAAAGCAAGTCGACAGTCCTTGAACACAGCTTTGTCACAAGTGTACATCAGCACAAGAGTCACTAAACAGTGTAAGATTACATTCACTGCGTGGAAGTAGAAGGGGTTCATACCAGCCAGCAATATGTTTAACCTGTAAGAAAACAAAACAGAACTGTAACTAGACTGGAGAGATCTTGTAATAGCAGGTCGTCTTTCTAATACTCTAAATTATGCTTTTTGCCTGATTTGCAGTCTTCTAATGTAAGTGCGACTAAATTAATAAGTGAAAATTGCTCTGAACTTCTGATTTATCTGATTAAAGAGAAACCACTGCAGTTTTTTAAATATGTGGTTGAATTTGGCAACCTTCTTGCCACTGAGATGAAAGAGGCTTGTGCCCCTCCTGGTAAAAGTTCACTGCAGTGAGACGATGTCTGTGCTCCTTTAGCAGCAAATAACCCCAACCAGCAGCAGAAGCACAGCACTTGTCCTGGTTCCTCATTGGCACCTCCTGTGGTTGCCTCAGCCACATGGCAGCTTTACAATTTGGGGAGTTATTTTCTATGAAGGCATAGATACTTTCGCTTGGGAACAGCCAAGACAAGGACTCAGTAAGGCACTGGAGCATCTGCTTGGCATTACAGGCACATTTATTCCCATTTAACTTTTAAAATGCTTTCACATACTGAAGGTTAAACATTTAAATGCTTTACTGATATCAGGACTACACCAAGAAGCTGGTCTAATAGCATAATTTTTATAAAGACACTGATGGTAAAGATAAGTTTGCTAACATCATCCTAGACTCAATGTGACAATTAGGGTTCAGTATTTGTGCTGACCACAAAAAATAAAATATAACAAGCTGTTCTGACATTTGTTTGACAGTGTGTATTAACACATTTTTCTGGACACTGTTTTTCACAGCCAGCGTGCTTAACAGCTGCTGACAGGCTTTGCCTTACATGCAGTTGAAGACAACTCGACTGTCTTTAGAACTAACTGCATCTGTACCTTTGGACAAATATATATATATACACACACTCATATATATATTTACACACGCACATAGACATGGTCTCTATCCAGGGGAGACTCCACACACGAACAAGGAATTTGGAAGTACTAATGTTAAAGGACATTAAAACAAACAAACAAACACAAATTTAAAAAACAAAACAAAACAAAAAAACCACAAAACTAGAAAACATACACAAAAAACCCACACACACAAACAGGCAAGAGAGTCAGTGAAAAAGAGACTCGATCTAAATATTTTGCATGTAGCTGTAAACATGTTAAAGGGTCAATAATCCTTCCTGTTGTTACTGAGACTCCAGGTCTCCCCTGACATATACATGGTACAACAGCAAAGCCACTGAGTTGCTGATATTATGCAAACACCTTAGGTTTTTTGTAAGACACAGGAAGTGTGGGGTGTCTGTGAGGGCCGGACAACATATGCTTTTTATAAATGCTTTCTACATTCTTTACTCATAAGCAACGGAGCGCTATCTGTCCTGGGCTGCATTTTTCAGGCCAACCTAGCTTTTACCAGACCAGGAGTCCTCCTTGTGCATTCCTGGTCTGGTCTCACTGGAGTGTTTGTGGAGGCAAGAGCTGAAACACAGAGAGTTTGGGAAAAGTGAGATTTTAGCACGACTTGACCTTTCCCTTTGAAGTATGGGATGATGCAGCTACATTTTGACAAGACATCAGTCTGTGTGATTCAAGAATACATGAAGATTTGAGGCTTTTCCTTTTTTTTTTTCCCCATTTCTCCTGCAAGCCACTTCAGGGCAGCAGCATACATCACTTTCCCTCATTTCTGCCAGCACAGAATGACAAACCACAACAAATGTCAGTAATAGACACACAAACAGAGTTTCAGCTGTAAATACATTGCAGCAGTGGAAACCCCCAGGCCTAAATCTTGTTTTCAGCGTGCTGTGAGGAGCAAGGGGCAGCGCAGGACCACCCTGCCCCAAAGGAGCCAAAAGGTCCCACTCAGAAGCACCTGCAGATGTGTGCCATGGCAGGGACCACCTGCAGGACCAGCTCTTCATACAAACGAATCACTTCTGACTGTAAATCAGCCAGATGGAGCACAGTCATCACCATCGCTCCCCACCAAATGCCAAAGTGTGCTCTGGCAACCTGATTTCTGGAGAAAGCAGATGCAGTCAGGTGAGGGTAGTGAGGACAAATGCTCAGGCTATCAGGCGATAGAAACCTATGCACCAAGATATAAGGAATTCTCATTTATTTACTTATTCGGCCAAAATGTGAGGACCAATCATGAAAAACACTACATGTAACAACATTCTTGAAATAAAGTCTTTCATTAGTCTCCATGGATCGCATCTAATCACCTCCCATCCTGCAAAGCACGTGTACTGGCAGGAGAGGCAGAACCTTGTAGGGGATGGTCACCTATCTCAAAGGCAGGGTGTGCTCACCTCTTCTTGAGGGAAACATCAAGTCAAAAAGGCTTGTAAACAGCAAATTACCTGATGTAAGTTATTGAAAACAGTTATTTAAACATGTAAGCCTCACAGTTGTGCTATTCCCCCATGTAGTCTTTAAAAAATAATAATAATTAAAAAAGCACAGAATAAAATACAAACATAACAGCACCCTGGTATTCAGATAAGCCTCCCATTTAACAGCAAAATCTGACTGCAAGCATGCCTCGGTGTACACTTTAAATACCATCTCTTGTGGTCCATGAACACTAAATGTGAATGTGTGCAGGTGCTATATTCACACCAGTGGTTTTTTGCTGCTACAGCTCTTTGTCATAAGAAATTAGGCCACATGGCAATGAAGGAAACATTCTTTTGTCCTGAAACAATCCCAGCAGAATGAGTTTGAAACATTAGCAGTGGTTGAGTTTATTGTACATCAAAGGGGTGACCAAATCTGGGGCTCCAAACAGCTCTAATCCAAATCACAAGAACTTTGCAAAGCTCCCCAGCACACTCATCCACCCATGGGTGAAAAAAGGCAGCCTACTACGGAAAGCCAAATTTGTTCCACTGCAGAGCAACTACAGAGCAAATTCTGAACAAGGGAGCAGGAAGCAATGGGTAAATCAATAAAAATAACTTCTTTCTTAAAGTTTAACACCCATATAGAGATTGTCTTGTCTTTGTTTACTGGCAGCAGCATTATCAGAGTTGTATAGTAGTTACACATGGCATACAGCTCAACAATGAAAGAAAGTAAAACAGAGACAGGAATCGCAAAATTAAGTAAGAAGTGGTGTTTCTCCAACATGATGCTCATGAAGAGAAGCTCTGAGGCAGTAACTGGACTCTGTTATGGGAGAGGAGGTTTGTCCTTATGTTTCCATACCTAATTGGCTCACAAATGGGGAAAATATTTCATCTTTTTAAGTTACAAGGCCAAAAGACACCAATACTACCATCATTTCTAATTTACAGCATCATGTGGGCTGGAAGCCCCTAGTCACTTCTGCATGGAGATCGTAACATCTGTCTGAGCTAAAGCACAATTTGTAACATGCCCTGGTATAACACACAGCTAGGAGAGCAGTTACTTTGGGTTGGCCGGGCTTTTTGAAGTGATTGCTTGTCAAACCAGAAAGGTGCTGGCAAATAGCATTCTAAAGATTCGGGGCTGAATAAAACAAGTGACCATGTTCCTAGGAATGGAGACACTTGAAAGAGGAGACACCACCGCCAGGAGGTCTTTTCTCAGGGGAGCTGCCTGCAAAACACTCAGAGAAGAAGAGTTTTGCATTGCTTCAAGACCTCTGCTGGAAGAGACCCTGGAGACAAAGGGTGTGGTGAAGCCTCCTGAGAAGTGGTGTTTGGCAGTTCAAATGCAAAGGCCCTGAAAAGGACAGGGTAAAAGGAGGGGAAGGAGCAGTCTCTTGATACAAGGTGACTGTCAGTTATCTTCTAATAGAGCTGATCGGCATCACTCAACCCACCACCAAAACCAAAGTTTATTACAGAGTTCCCAGTATTGATAGCATGCCTCATCAGGGTGGGGAAGACTGCACTGTAACGTGTATTCAAGCAAAGACGCTCATCTCAACACCAGTCTTCGTGTCCAAGCATTGCAGCATGTGTGGTTTAGAGTGTCACACCCAAGGCAGAGCACTGCCAAAACTGCATGCCCAAGCAGGAGGTATACCAAAATAAGAGGCATCTGCCTTAACACAGAAATCCCTTGATTTTGCTATGCCTAATGGATGTTCTCCAGGAACGGTGGTGTAGTTTGCCTTGCCACCTACAGCAGCTTTTCTGTTCCTCCACTGTCCGCTCTAGGAAAAGGAATTACATAGCTCTGCTCTCAGAAAGAGACTTTCACATGTACCAGCCGTTGAAGGTCCACTGTGTAGAGTTTGTATAAGAGCTCTCCAGAAGAAAGTATATCATTCTTGCCCTTAAAAGAATAAGCATCTACCAGCACCTCCAGACAACCACTTCTTTCCCCCAGCACAGGCATCTCATTTGAGAAGTGGCATTTGTAGAGCAGGGACCATGCAACATGCTACCCTCAAACCACAGGCACTTACTACTCCTCTAGATGAGTTGTCAGGCAGGGACGTGTCTCCTTGGGTAAACTCCCTCTGTAAAGAGGGCTTGGAAATCAAGTGGAATTCAGAGACTTCATCCTCACAGACCCAGAACCAGAAGGGTCTATGCCACAAGAATATGGGCTTGCACCCCTGGGCTCTAACATAGTGCTTTTTATCCACTTGCACACACGAAGACTCATTCAACCTTTTTTAAGACCTTTTATGATTTAATAATATCATAAACCATAATTGGAGAGTTTTTCTTTTTATAGACTTTGTTATTATCCCTGGGCAGCTCTTGTTCAGTTTAATGTGTTTTATTATTTTCAAAAGACTAACAAAAAACACAACATGTTATGAAACAGAAATGCACGGGATAACCATGGTAATCTGTTATAGTGAGTAACACAACAGAAAGTCTCAGAGCATCCCACTTCTCATAAAACTCCCACAGTTTTTATAGAGGAAGGCTCACATGCAGATTTATATAAATTAATCTAACATACAAGGATGAATTAAGTTTCCTGTGAGCTTTCCTTCCTTTTGGAATTGTGTGATAAAAATTACAAACTTTATG